CCCACCCCCAGCGGCGGGCCCTGTTCTGAGTGCCCAGCAAGGAGGGCACGACTGGACCCTGGCAGGACCTCCCAGAAGAAGCCTTGCAGGTGGACAGGCCCCAGCACTCCCCGGGAGGTCCATGGGCTTGGATCTCATCTCTTCTCCTCCCCACCCCCCACCTCAGGTCGGACGCGCCCCACCTGGGCCAAGGCAGGCGGAGGATGGGAACACCCCTCTCGCAATGTCCCTTGGCCGTCTCCTCCGCCGGGCCTCCTCCAAGGCCTCAGACCTGCTGGCACTCACCCCGGGCGGCGGCTGTGGCGGGCCCGCGTCCGGCCTGGACGGTGAGATCGTCTATTCCAAGAACAATGTCTGCGTGCACCCCCCTGAGGGGCTGCAGGCCCTGGGGGAGCACCACCCAGGTGAGCATGCGCCCTGACGAGGGAGGGAGGAGAGGGGAGGGCGCCCTGGGGTCTGCAGGGAGGCAGGATGAGGGTACAGGGAAGAAGGCACCGGTTGGAAGTGCAGCCCCTGGGCCACCCTCGCCCACTCCCACCTGAGTGTGTGCCCTGCTGGGTGCTGGGCTCTGAGCTCGGCACTCGGACTCACACCCCTGCCTCCCCTTCCTGGCCTTCGGATGAGAGGGCTGGGTTCGGGCATCGTGGACGGAACTCCTGCCCATACTGTCCAGTGCTGGGCCCTGAGGTCTGCAGGGACGAGGGAGAAGGACCCTCCACCGGCCCCTCCATGCTGGGAACCACATGCATCTCCAAGGCTGTTCCGGGACCCTCACAGCAACTGCTGCGTGTGTTGGGGGGAAACAGGGGTGGGGGGTGAGCTTGTTCCTGTGAAGTCTTGTCCCTTTGAACCTGTGACTCACACACCGCCCCCCCCCGCCAGGTGTTCTCACCAGGAAGGTGCATGCCCTGGCCCCCGGCTCCGGTCTGAGCATGCAGTTGTCAGTGTGATTCCAGCAAGAGAGATCTTTGCTCCAGGCCGATCAAAACAAACAAATAAAATCGACCCCTGCCAAGTCCACTGGACTCCCACCAGCCCTCTGGGCAGAGGAGAACTGCCCTTAAGGTTTCTAAGGTGAAATCCTGATGGGAGCAGGCAGCCCATCTTTCTTCCCTGGAGCGAGTGGCTGATCAGGGTGAATCAGGGACTGCAGGTCAGCAGCCCAATGCTGGATCCTCTGCAGCATAAGGATTCTTTCCTGGAGCAAGGCTGGGCTGTGAGCGGTCACTTGGTCTGGGTATAAAACAGAAACCCAGGCAGTGCCTTGAGGGGCACATGTGATGTGTTCCTGCTGTGGAGGGAGGGAGGAGGGTGGGGAGAGGGCCAGGGTTGGGGGGTGTCCAGGAATCTCAGGGATTCAGGGTCCTGGAGGTGGTGGTTTGGGGGGGTGGCCGGTGGGCCAAAGGAAGTGGCCAGTACTCTAAGGAGGAGGTCAGTGAGTTGGGGAAGGAGAATGACCAGTAGTATGGTCCCGGGAGCCTCAGTCTGGCTTGGATTCTCTATCGGAGCTGGAAAAACCACTCGGATCCCTCAGGCCACACGGAGACACCCCTGTCTTGGCCGCCCCAGTTTCCCAGCCACTCGGAGCAGGAAGAGGTTGTGGGTCCGCCCTCAGCCTCAGCCCCTGTAGCGATGCGGCTAAAGGCTCACGCTGCAGTATGCAATGACACTCCCTCCCCTAACTGGCCCACTGGGCCCCAGAGCTCAGGCCACACCTGCTCAGCCGCTGCCCCTGGAGACTGGCTCTGCTGTCACTGGCGTGGGGTGTGACATCGGCTCCACAAGCAGCCTTGAAAAATAGCCCCTTCTTTCAAGACAGCCATAAGAGAGCTCCCAGCGGAATCCCGGAGAGGGCCCAGGCTGCCGGGGTGAGGGTGGGGGTGAGGGGGAAACTGACTCGTTTCGGAACAGGAGTGTGTGGCCCTCCTTGTCCCGGGCCCAGTGCAGGGCCTGGAGGCTCTGAATATGGGTGGCCTCTCTGTGTCCCCGATTGTGGGGACGGAGCCCTGGGAGGGAGTGTTTGGAAGGTGCGGAGGAGGGAGGGGTGTTTGAAGCCGGAGACCCCACCCTCTATGAAACAGGGCGGGGCTCCCCCTGGTCTGGGGTCCCTGGTGGTGGCAGGGCTTTACTGGGTAGGGCTCTGCCCTGGTGGGGACTTGGGTGAGGCTCTACTTGGGTGGGGCAGCTTGTGGTCTTGGGGGGAACCCATTCTCCCTGGGCGGGGCTCTACCTGGGTGGGGATCCGGAAGTGGTGCCTATGTGGGCGGGTCTCTCGGAAGCAGCCCCCTGATGATGCCCCGCGCCCCGCAGGGTACCTGTGCCTGTACACGGAGAAGGATGAGATGTTGGGGACCACCCTCATCCTCGCCTGGGTCCCCAATTCCCGGATCCAGAGGCAGGACGAAGAGGCGCTGCGCTACATCACCCCTGAGAGCTCCCCAGTACGCAAGGCTCCCCGCGTCCGGCGCACCCAGAGCTCGGGGGTTCCCTGCCAGACCTCCCCCCTGGAGCCCAGGACAGCCCTGATCCCCAAGGACGAAGACATCCTGGTGGCCGGGAGCACCCGGGACGCCGCTCCCGGGAGCCTGTCCTCGGAGGACGGGGAGAAGCCGGCCACGGGGCTGGGCGAGGATGGTGGCCACCCGGCCTCGCAGTGCCCCCTCAGCGACTCAGGCGCCCTTTCCACGGTCAGCTCGCAGGACGCGGCTGAGGAAGGCTCCCTGGCGCTGTCGGCCGGCGGCGTGAGCAGGGACAGCTCCTTCGACTCAGACTCGGACGCCTTCTCCTCGCCTTTCTGCCTGTCCCCCATCAGCGCCGCGCTGGCCGAGAGCAGCAGCCCCCTGTTCTTGGAGAGCGGGGGCAGGTGAGTGCCCAGTGGGCCCCTGGGCCTCTGGCGGCAGACGTGAGGCATGGCAGGAGGCCTCTGCAGGGCTCCTCGGTCCCCAGGGTGGCCAGGGGGGCTTCACCCCACCATGCCATGATGTCATCCCCACCAGAGCAGGGGTCTCCACGTGCACCCCTTCCCAGGGCCAATCAGCCTGTGGCCCAAGCTGACAGAGAATATTCTCTGCGCTTGGGGGCTGGGAGGGTGGTCACACACAGCCCGCGGGCCCCTGCCATGCTCTGCCAGCCTGCTGCCGAGTTCTCAGGGTGGAATGCAGCCCAGGGAGACGTGCAGCTCTTGTCGGGCAGGTGGAGGGGCACTGAGTCCCTCAGGGGGGCCCCATGCCTAAAGTCAGCTCAGGAGGTCATGCCCGGCTGAGGCAGCCCGTACGCCCGTGCCAGGTGGGGACACAGGGACAGGGCATGGCTCAGCAGGAAGGGCTCTTCTGATTTTATCCCTCCGGTGGGCTGTGACTCATTGCGCCCCAGGGGTGAGCTGGTCGCATTTGTTGGAAGTCAGCTGGAACCAGGTCGCAGAAGAGGCTGGCTGAGCAGCCTGGGCACGTGGCCTGGAGGGTCCCAGTGGGTCCTGCCCCCTGGTGGTACCACTTGGTTACTGCAATGGTTCCTGCAGGCAACCAAGCTCCGGGCCAGGGTCGGGGGTCTGTAAAAGGAGGGGCTATCTGAACCCCCCCTCCTCGGCTCCCTTGAAACCCCATGGCAAAACCAGCACCAGATCTGGGTGGGCTGGCTCCAATAGCAGCCCCCCTCAGCCAGGAGCTTGTCTGGGGATCTGGGGTGGCTGAGAGTCGAAGAAGGTGATTTACCTGCTTGGGGCCTCAGTTTCCCTGTTTGTAATATGGGGATTGGGTTTTCCACCTGATGGGGTGCTGCAGAGTTCCATATCTCTACCTTGGGGTCTCCCCCACTTCCCGTGAGGATGACTTAAGTGGCGGGGGAGGGGCTTTCACACAGTTCTGGGTCTCCCGCTGCCCCTAAGCTGTGGTTCTCCTGGACACCCCTCCCCCTAATTCTCTCCCAGGGATGGGCTGCGAGGACAGCCTGAGTTCTCGTGACTTGGGGTGGTGGGTGCTGCCGGCCTTGAGTGGGTGGGGGTCAGAGATGCGCAGGACGCCCCCCACCCCAGAACCACCCATCCCTTTATGTGAGCAGTGGCCTTGTTACAGCTCTGCCCCAGAGCACAGGGCTGCTGGGTGCGAGTGGGCATCCTGGAGCTGGGCAAGATGGCCAGGGGTGGCACCCCTCCACCCAGCGGCCTTCAGAAGAGCAGGAGGTTGTCAAGGGGCCAGGCGGTGCCTCAGAGCCTCCCCACAGGCCATGCGGGATCCTTATTCGGTGGCTGATCAGCTATGTATACATAAATGTTATGTCAGGCCTATTGTCGTGAACCGCTTCGATGGAAGGTGTTTTAGGGTATGTGACCACTACAGGGTCGCTGGGAGCCACCAGCAGCTCCACGGCAGTGAGGGAGAACCCAAAAGTTGAACTGTAAGGTCCCCCCGCCCCGCTGACTGACGGATCAGTGACTCATGTCCTACAGGGTCCCCCGCCCCGCTGACTGACGGATCAGTGACTCATGTCCTACAGGGTCACCGTGACCCGCGGGGAAGCCTTTCTCCTTTCCTCCCCCTCCTCCTTTACTGACCACTTCATTCTCACCGACGGTGAGCAGCCCGACACATCACTATGCCACCAGGGCTGCTCTTGTGGTAAGGTCAGCAGTTCGAAACCACCAGCTGCTCTGAGGGAGAAAGAGGCTTTCTGCTCCCCTAAGGAGTTACCATCTCAGAATCCCACAGGGACAGTCCTGCCGTGTCCTGTGAGTCAGGGTGGGCCCCATGGCAGAGTTTGGTTTTGAGTTTGTTTTGAGTTTTGACATTGCTCACAGCAATGTCAGTGAGCACCGAGATGTGCCTCTCCCTCACCTCCAGGGCAGAGCGGGAGCCGGCTCATGGGCTCTCTCTGGTGGCAGACATGAGAACTACACATGGGGCCGCATCCTGGGCAGTGGATGGGCTGAGCACGTGTCTTCTGGCAGGTGTTCCCCCGATGTCGGAGCGAAACACCTTGGGGGTTCCACAGTCCAGTTGTTCCATGGGTTAATGCCGGTGGAATTGGGCTCCAGTCCTGGGCATCCCCGTTCACCCCTCTCGGCCCTGGTGTGGCAATGGGCAGGGACTGCTGGACCACGTGACTGCCCTGGTTGTTCGGGGTTTGGAGGAAGGGGGCGTCAAGGGAGCTGCTACTTTCCAGGAGCAGGGCTGCGCTCTGGGGCATGTGCCTCCCCCAGCCATGTCTGAGGTGACCCCAGACCTCGGGGGACGTGTGCTCACTAGTTTCTGTCCAGTATAGAGAGCCTGCGGGGTGAAGGCATGCTAGACCTGGTGGCCCACATGTGGCGTGACCAGAGGCGAGTCATGGGGACATGTGTGAAGGTTTGAGGCAGGGCTCACTCTCTAAGAAACTCTAAATTACCAGAGAGGCAAAATAAATACACCTGTACTGGGAGGGCGTGAGGGGGGGTGGGGGGCAGGGGTTACTAGAATTGCACCTGTGGGATTTTCCTGGCTGTGGCTTATCAGCAGTGGATTTCCAGGTAGGTCAATCAAGTTTTAAAAATCATCTAATAGGTGGAGGATGTTTTCATAAATGTCCTTATTTAAGAAATATTTGAGTCCCTGCTGTGCGCTCATTTGCAGGGGGTTTTCATTTACCTTGATTTTATTTCTATCCCCTCCCTCTCTTTTCCGACCTCTCCACCCCCACCCCCCACCTCATAATCCTCAAAGTCTATTTTTTTATACCGAAACCTTCTTTTCTTGATTCTTTTCTTTCCTAATGGGTGTCTCAGATGACACTGTCTTTATGCCACTGACTAGCTTTATGCAGCACCATATCCTCCAAGCCCATCCGTGTCGTGCGGCCTTTGACAGGCTCCCTGTGGCGCTTCAGGCGTGCGTAGTGTCCCACTGTGTGCGGTGGACCGTCCACCGGCAGGCACTTAGGTGGGCGCCGTCTTCCCGCCGGCATGAGCAGTGCTACGTGAGCGTGCGTGGGCATGTGTCCGTGTGGTTCGCTCCTTATGCGTCAGGGCACAAACCGAGCCGAGGGAGTGCTGCTCCCACGGGAGTTCCAATCCGGTTTGTTTGGGGAGCACCAGCCCATGATCCTCGGCAGCACAGCTGCAGTCCCACCAGCAGTGTGCGAGGGTTCCCATCTCTGCACGTCCTCCCCCGGCTTCTTGTGTTGTTTTCTGAACGCCGGCAGCAGCGCCCTGTGAGGTGGCGTCTCGTCTTCCTTTTGATTTGCGCCTCTGGTGGCTAGTGATCAGGAGCATTTCTTCATGTTTGTCTGCCACTTGGAGTTTTAGCCTCGGGGTGTGTGGGGGGCTAGCAGGGGATCACGAGCCCCAAAGTGTGCGTGTTCTGGGTTTGTATTGAGGAGGGCACATCCGGCTCCCCAAAGAGTCTGCGACACCCAGGCTGCGGCGTGCTCCGGGGCGGAAGGACGTGCAGGATTTGTAGACGTTGTATCACAGTGTGGCCTGTCCACCGTGTGTCAGGGGAGAACCATGCAGCCTGCTATTTTACACAACAGTGGAAACATGAACACAGGAGGGACCAAAGGCAGGACCAGCAGGCCAGCGTTTCCCCAGGAGGGGGCAGGTGACGGAGGAGCAGGGACAGCGAGCTGGCCCGTGTGTGTCTGCCCACCCGGTGTCCTTGCCTGGTCAAGCCGGTCCAGCCCGAGGCAATCAAGGCGGGGATAAGTGGGACCTTAGTGCTCGGTGTCTTCCTGAGGGACAGGCGCTGTGAACCCTGCAGACCTGAACCCTGCAGGCCATCATCCCTGCTCCTCATGCTGCAGGGAGACTGGACAGGTGGTCCGCGTCATGGGAGACCCTGGGCCCCGAGAAGGAGCCACTGGGCTAGGACCGAGCGCCCCAGGGTCCTGAGAGGCTCATTCCAAGCCTTGCTGGGCTGCCCCTGACCATCAGCCGGCTTGAGGGTGGGTGGGAGGAGGACTCTGATCTGGGGTTAGCCTCCCTTGGCCCGGCCTGCCCGGCTCCGAGGGGGTGTCCATCAGAGAAACGCTGAGCACTGGGGTTGGTTAGCACCACACTAACCTAACAGTTGCTGCCTTAAACCAGCCCGATCCCTAGTGGTGCTGTGGGGGAAAGGCCTGGTGACATTGTTGTAAAGCTGGTTAGGGTTAGGTAAAGCTGGCGGCCCACACACCCCAGGGCACAGCTCTGCCGGAGCACCACGAGGGGACAGAGGGGCAGCAGGGGCTCGGGCTTGACCAGAGACAGGACCCTGGGAGTGAGGCAGCTAGTGAGGAACCCTGGGGGGTAGAGAAGATGAGGGTGGGGGTGTGGACATAGGGGAGGGCAGAGGTGTGAAGAAAGTGGGCGCTAGGGGCTGCCCTGGCAGCAGCAAGGACAGGAGGCGGGCGGTGGTAACTGACAGAGCTGTAGCATTGCCAGGTGAGGGGCGACCTGTGGTCAGTTTGGAGCATGGGGTGTTGTGGTCAGTGTAGTGGTTGGGATGCTGTGGTCAGTTTGGGGGGGATGGGGTGCTGTGGTCAGTGGGGAGATGGTATGATGTGGTCAGTGGGGGAATGGTGTGATGTGGTCAGTGTTGTGGTTGGGGTGCTGTGGTCAGTGTGGAGGTTGGGGTGCTGTGGTCAGTTTGGGAGCATGGGGTGCTGTGGTCAGTGTAGTGGTTGGGATGCTGTGGTCAGTTTGGGGGGGATGGGGTGCTGTGGTCAGTGGGGGGATGGTGTGATGTGGTCAGTGTAATGGGTGGGGTGCTGTGGTCAGTGGGGGGACGGTGTGATGTGGTCAGTGTAGTGGGTGGGGTGCTGTGGTCAGTGGGGAGATGGTGTGATGTGGTCAGTGTAGTGGGTGGGGTGCTGTGGTCAGGGTAGTGGTTGGGGTGCTGTGGTCAGTGTGGAGGT